CAGCCCTGGAAACCTTCAAGGCCCGGCTGGACGGGGCTCTGAGCACCCTGATGTGGTTGAAGCTGTCCCTGCCCGTGGCAGGGGGATGGACGGGATGGCCTGGAAAGGGCCCTGCCAGCCCAAAGCCTCCTGTGGTTCTGTGAAAATAACTGATGATGGCTCCTAGCCCTCCCTCCCTGCTCCCTGAATAACACATTTAAGAGAGGCTCAGCAAAGCTCCTGTCCCGACTGGATGTCGCCTCAGGGTGGCTGGGAGCTGTGGAGTCTCGGAGCCAGCACGGAGGGAACAGCCATGACATGCAGGGCATCCCAGATTTGGCTTGGGCAGTGGGGACAGCCTGCACCTCAGGGGCAGCGATCTCACCAGCAGGCCCCACCAGAGCCCCGGAGCCGCTGGCTTTCGCCTCCCCGGCTGGTGAGGGGCTGCCGGGGCGGAACCGGGGCCTGCCCGGCCGCCATGGCGCTTCGCTTTCCGCAGGAGTTTGGCCCGCCCGCTGCGCCGTAGGCGGGGTTGCCATAGAGACGAGCGGCGCGGCCTAGCGCGGCGGCGGCAGGCGGAGGCCCGCGGGCTGCCGCGGCGATGTCGTTCCGCGACCTCAGGAGTGAGGAGCCTCGCCGCTGGGGCCTGCAGAGCAGCTCCGGCCCCCGTTGGGCGCCTCAGCAGGCCAGCGGCTCCCGCTTTTCCTTGAAGTTTTGCCCCGTAGTTTCACTTAGAGGCACGGCTGGGGGTTGAGGGGAGCTTGGGGTCTAACCGGTGCCTCGGACGAGGGCTGCAGGAAAGCCTGCTGCGGGGTTGGAGCCTTTCTTTAAATTGGCTGATGGGCTGTGCTTTAACAGGGCGTAATAAAGGCAGAGGACTGGGGAAGCACAGGTCTGCATGGTGGTGATCACCGCAGCCCACAGTTAACTTCATTTAAACAGCGGGTTTTGTAGAGAGAAGCCGTTTTAACATTGTTTCTACCCAGTGAATCTCTTCTAAAAAGTCACCTTTTTACTCAGGCATGTTTTCTATTGAAATGATGTTATTTCTTTTAATTAATGCATTCAGGATTTTTTTTTTTTTTAACAGTACTTTGAACAGGGCATATCTAGCGGTAAACAAGCAGCATGCTGTGGGAACCGGAGTTCTTGGTGATGTTGGCTATGTAAGAAGGAATCCCTGCTCTTGCTTGTTTTTCAGATTTTACTGAGATGATGAGGGCGCTGGGGTATCCCCGGCTCATATCTATGGAGAATTTCCATACCCCAAACTTCATGCTTGTTTCAGAAGTGCTTCTCTGGCTAGTGAAAAGGTTGGTGGTTGGGCTAACGAATGCTGGGGCTGATGCTGGGGTGTGGTATGCATGCTTGGAGCTGATGTTTTGGTGTCAAACTGTGTGAAGAAGTTTAAAGAGGAACATATTTAGTCATTCTTTGAGATCTACTCTTCTAAATGTCAGATAGAAAATGTGGTGGTGAAGTTTGCAGGTTTTTAGTTTAATTATACAACCAAAAAAAAAAGTGTTTTAGTAGCTGAAGTAGAAAATACGACTCGGTTCTGGCAGATTGCATCCTGGAGGTGGACATACTTATTCAGAAGTAGCCATTTCTCTTTCACATATTCTACAAACTCCATTACCATTCTGCTTGTATCTGACCTTGTGCCCCAAACAGGACGATATATAGCGAGAACTTAAGATACTGTTAGCTCTTACCTTGCTGCTACAATTGTTATTGGTTCAACCTGGTATTGTCTAGCATCCATGCCATGTGTAAAAAAAATAAAATGCTTCCGTACTAATCTACTACTCTTCAGTTGTAGTTTTACACCCACTTAACCCATTGACAGACTTTGGTTAAATATTTATGAAAATTCAGGTGCTAATCAAATTATACGTGATCTTCTTTCTCCCATGTTACTGAAAAAATAAACTAAGTTTTTTAAGCTACTCATAAGGTAGAATATTACAATCGAAAATATGACAGTGACCCATTTGCCTGATTGCTATTTTTTGGCCTGGATTCATAATTAGTATCCATTAAGTTTAATTACCGAGCTGTTAGAAATTTGCTGAATACTGTTGTAATTGTAATAAAATAGGGGAATGCTTACAACTATTCAAAATTACTTGGATTAAGTTACCTAAATATTCTTTAAAATACTGCTGTTACACTGAGGGTCTAAATTACTGGTTGTTTTCAACTCACGTGTAAAAACATAAACCAGTGTCCCCCGTAGGACGTAACTGTAAAATAACAGAGCAATTGAAAGAAAACAAAAATACTGTTTTAAAAATATTTCTCTAATGAATCTGAACACTTCTAAAAGCTTAAACTTCTGTGTTATAGGGAACCCTATGCCTAATAGTGAAGTGCTTCACTTTCAGACCAAGTAGCAACCAAACACTGGTGTCCTTTTCTGTGATGGGTCAGCATTACACTTGACACAGGCAGACAGCTTTTCCAGCTTCTAGAAGCCTTTTAATTACACTTTAAAGCAGAGAGGCTACTTTGCACGTTCCTTGCTCATAATTTCAACTGTGATGTGAAAGCGAAGATGCTTTTTTGCCTGTCTGAATGCTGAAAATCTCGAAGCCTTTTATAAGACTGGGAATTTACTTTTTTCCTTCCCTGGTTCCTGTAGGCTGGTGGCTTCTAGAAGTTTCTGCATTTCACTAGTGTTTCTTTTTTTTAAGGCATTTCACAACCTTTCAATTTGCTTTTTCATAAGTTTCGTTTACTTTTCAAAGTAATATGTTTGAAATGATGTCTGAGTGTGAACTGCTGCATTTAGAGAGTGTGGAAAAGCGTCATAACGTTTTAAAGGACAAGGTGGCTGGTTTTGTTATGACCAACAATAGTAATCTGGTACAAGTCATTTTAACATACCCCTGGAAAGACTGGGAGTATTAAGCCAGTCGTATGCCTGGTGTTTTAAATGGTGAAGCCATAAGTGGTTGAGTTTGATTTATATAAGCAGCTTGTGATTTAAGTAGTAAATTAATTCTGAAAATGAGTATTTCACAGACTTGATTGAGCCAGCTAAATTTTGCTCCTTTGCAAAACTGACTGAAAAGATGTGTTCAGGACCCCAGGGTAACAATTCCTTCTGGAGAATTCTCAGGTTTTACAGCTTTTGCAGTTTGTACACAAACCCATTGTATGCATTCCAGGGTCTGGATACTCCAGTCTGCAGTAGGAGCTAAAGATTTCTTTTCCAGTCTTGTACATGCTTGTTTTGTTTGATTTTTGCCTCACAAATGAACCACTCTCTTTAATGTTGCACATGTATTTCTCTCAGAATCTACTCATGCTGCTTTCCACAGGTATGAACCCCAGACTGATATTCCTCCTGACGTGGAGACAGAGCAGGATCGAGTTTTCTTCATTAAGGCGGTGGCTCAGTTCATGGTAAGTCTGCCTAAGGAGTCACGCTTAAGCACATTGAAATACTGGTTCCATATTAGCTTTAATGCCTTCTCTCTTAACCCCTCACGATTTCCTTGCAGTGGGTGGCTGAGTATGTATTGTATTCTTGTGCTGTATTGTATGTCTTGTGCTGTTACAAACTTGACCGGGCCAGGGCGTACTCTTACTGAAATCACGTAGTTACGTACATCTCTTTGCAGAATTGGGACCTAAACACCTAACGCTAAAACAATATCCATCCTTATCACTTCGTATCACTTATAGAAAGGTAATGGTGGAAGATGTAGCTGTAGAGATGAAATTTTTTGAAGCCGTTTAAATGAGTTCAGAAGAGATCCCATCATATTTATTGCTAACTTTGGATGCCTGATTCTTTTGTATGCTTGAATACTCATAACTTCTGATGTTTTCATTATGATATAGAATCATATATTGGTATTCTGTTGGGGGAGCCTTCTCACGTACTAGATCGAGCCATATTTTTCTCAGATCAAATCTTTTATCATGTTATGCATGAGCATACTTGAATTGGGCCGTCAGCTTTTTCAGTCTTGTGGAATAAAATAACATTGTCCTTCATATCATTCTTGTTATTTTGATGCAGCATGAGCCTTTGCTGTTGTGACATACTTACATAGCACTCTTAATTAGGTGAAAAAAAACTTAATGGGGCTGCGGGTGGGTCTGGAAGCAGTGGAAGTCTTTATGCTAATACCAAAGATTAATTTCTTATAACACTTTTTTGAATTTTTAAAATATATTAAAATGACATTAAAACCAAGACAGCTTTTCCCTTCTGGTTTGTGATGATGCCCACCGTAAATTTCCTTAATTCTTGGTGTTACTATGTTCAGAGCACGATACACTTCCGTACATACCAGAATGCACTTTTGAGCCCTGGAGCATCATAAGAGGTAGTGAACAGATTTATTTTCTTTGGAGGGATTTCCCCCCTCCAAATCAAGCATGTTTTAAAAGGACAAGTATGGAAGCAGAAATAATGTTATGCATGCATTTTCCTTTTAATAGCTGACTTCATGTAAGAAATCCCAAGGGTTTTGCAGAATTACATAATATGATTCAGAAAATGAAATGAATGGAAATTTCTTTAATCATCCTGTACTTGGTCTCAGTTAATATTACAAGATAATATGGGGATTATTGTAGGTTGTCAGCATTTTCAGAATGAGAAAAGCTTGGAGACATTTCCTTAATAATTCACTGTCCATGGAATCCACAGTTATCTTCTCCAGGAGCTAATAGCTTTATGCATCCGTAGCCAGATGTGAGATTTGATGGAGACAGATTTGTCTCAGAAGAGAATATCAGGAGAGATTAATCATCATGAAATATAACTAGAGTATTGCTCTCCTTTACTGAACGAGGAGTAAAGATGCGTTAATTTTTTACACAAATTATGTATTGCTCTGTGTTACTGGTAGTTTGAGAACTTATTAAATGTCTTATTTTTTGGACCCAAAAGTTCCTGAAGTGTCTGCAGCATTGTCTTATGTGTTTTTTCAATCATTTTCCCACCTAGAACTGCCCTAGTCTGTGTAGCTCAACACCGGGCTCCTGCTCGAGCCCACTTGGATCCCAGTTTGAGGTGGAGTGCAGCAAAAAGCCTCCGATGAGTTTAGTCTCATAGCAGTGCCTTCCTGAAAACATGCTTGGCACACTAAGGTACCAAACCTTTTGCAAAAGGCAGGCGTATTTGGTTTTTAAAAAGTGATAGGAGAAGCAGTTGATGCAATGTCTGCTCATAATCTTCCTGAGTGCTTTCTGGGAAGTATCGTGTGTCCCATTCCCATTTCAGCCTGTGGAGATTTAGAGCCACTACTTCAGTACCCAGGAGACTATCCGAAGTATTAAACAAGACAGGGAGAGGAGAGCAATCCTCATTCTTCCTATCGAGAACGTGCCGTTGTACAGGAAAGGATGCAAAATGTTTGGGCTAGACAGGCTAAAGACCACGACGCTGCAACCGAACGGCTGGAGGACTCAGCTGGGAGTTCTGGTTCTTCCCTGGGCTGTTTTTGCATTTCCAGCACGCTGTCAAAATTTGGCTCTGGTAATAAAAAAGCAGATTTTAAAGTAAAGCAAACTTTCTGGCAGTTGATGCCCTCCTTGCAGTATATTTCTATTCCTCTTTTCTATTGCATTGTAATAATCTGATCTTCAGAATAGATGGAGGTGATTTTTAATGGTACTTTAAAACTATTTCGAGGTGTTATAAAACGGGTGACTGACTCAAGCTTTCCAAACGTGAAGTTACCTTCTTGAGTAAGCAATGCCATTATGCCAATCTGAAAAAATATGTACTTGTCTCTGTATTTTTTTCCTCTTTTTAAGTAGTCTTTGAGTGAAAAAACTTTTTTTTTTTTTTCTTTTACTAGGCATTGATTTTTCTCTCTTGGGGTTGAATGGAACTGAAATTGGAATTCCTGTCTTTAACAACATCCTTTATGATGTGGTGCATTAATCTTCTTTGTGTAGGGGATGTTTAACAGATTCTGTCAATTTAATGACCTGCTTCTCTTAAAATGTAATACCTGCTGTTTCTACAATTAGGTTTTTAGATTCCTTCTACTGAAAGGGGAGGAAGGAGAACATATCTGGCTTTCCACTTCGTGTATTGGCTCATTTGAGGTCACGCTGGTCAAAATTTTCAAAAGCAATTAGGGTTTTTTGTACCGTAAGTCTCTTATTCCCCCAGCTCAGGGTGTACAACATCAGCAACCTGTTCTGGAAGTTCTGACTTCACTTTTCAGCTCAGTTCCTGCCGGCAGGAAGCAGATGTAGAGTCAGTTCCCTCTGCTGGGTTGAGATTTTGGGATGAGAGAGGCTTGTAAAGTCATCAAGTTTGACAAGATGCGTATGAAGAAACATGGGCCAACGACTGTTTGCTTTGTTTCCTTTGTTCTTTGAAAAGTTGGAGCTAAATCCATGGTTTGAGATGTGCTCCTTTCTTTAGTTTCACAGGAAATTGTCCTGCATTCAGTTATTGAGTGAAGCTCAGTGCAGAGCGGGCAAAACTTGTACCAACCCTTTTAATGTTGGAGTCTTTTATCCCAGATGGAAGGTCTTGCACGGTCAGAGCCCGAGGGGGGTGTGAACTGCTTACGGTAACACTGTAGTACCAAAGTCGTGTCATACCACAAGTGAATCATGGATAGATTCTTTCTGCCCCACGGTATCCCCAAAGGATAAACGTTTTAGCAGAAGTTTCATCTTTAAAAGACACTGAAAAGAAGACGTTAAGTCGTTCGGGTGCTTAGTTTTTGTATTCGTAACCAGTGATCAATTTTTGTTTGCTTGCTTGTTTAGCTGTGCCATCAGGAAGGCTGCCTCAGGGTTTTACCTGAAGTTTGGTGTTGGCTCCTTGTGGCTATTCATTTATAATATAATCTTGTCAGGAATTTCAAGAACAACATTTGTGTCCTTTCTGTGACAGATGTATCATTTCTATTATGCTCTTTTTCCCCCCTTTATTATTTTGAAGTATAAAAAAGTTGTTATCGTTTTTCATGTGTTTTTCCTTACTGGTCTGTCTGTACTTTTCAGAGATGGAAAACAAGGGAATAAAATCACTAATATCGTAGCAGGAAAAAATTTGAGAGAAACAAAATATTCTGAAGGCACTGCTGGAAGAGAAGACAGTTAAATTAGGATAATTGATCTTATTCTTGTAACTCATTAAGGGTGAAATTTACCTCTCTGCAGCATCATCACAAGACCTGGGCAGCACTTAGATTCCACTTAAACTTAATTTGAATTTAAGTGGCGCGCAGGGTTTTTGCTGATCTTCATGCAGGGAAGAATTAATGGATAGTTTGAGTTTTTTCATTCTGGCAATTACCTGCAAATGTTCTGACACGCAGAAAGTGCACGTGTTTCAGAAAAATTTCTTCTAGAAACACCGGTAATATGATGAGGCAAACTTGTGTTTCCAAACAGGGAGATTTATTTCCATAGAGCAGAGCACGGCGCCCCCAAAAAGAGCTTTCGAGTGAAGTGTGAAGAGGTAAATGAGGATTTTGTTCTTTGTGACGCAGTGAATTCATTCTTTCTTCCCAAAGGCTACCAAAGCTCACATAAAGCTCAACACTAAGAAGCTTTACCAGGCAGATGGCTACGCAGTGAAGGAACTGCTAAAGGTCACCTCTGTGCTTTATGGTGCTATGAATACTAAGGGAGTGGAACGTGCAGACGTGAGCGAGGAAGACAGCAGCAAGTTCAAGTTCGATCTTGGCTCAAAAGTAAGGAAAACTCGTACTCTTGTTTTGGGCAGGGGTTTTTGTGTTCACTTATGAAAACCAAATCCATTTTCTATCTGAAACTGAAGTAGAGAATGTTCTCGCAACAGAGCGGGTATGGTTTCAACTCATACTTTCTGTAGTTGAGGTTATATGCTATGATTTCTTTTAATCTCTGTGAATTCTCAACCAGAAACATAATACAAGGCAACAGTGGCACAAAACTGGTTATCTCTGGTTTGGACTGCTATTGAAATCATAGAAATATTGGAGTAGGCCAGGATAAAGGCTCTTTTCTATCTGCTAACCTTGTTGCAACGGGAGGAGTTTGCACAATACTGACTGAAAGTTGGGTTTTCAGCCCGTTTGTGTTGAAGGAAAGGGAAATCTTCATGTTACCCTAACAGACATCAAAGCTGTTCAAGCCCTGAAAGTAAACGCCATCTCTAGATATTAAAAAACCCCAACGCTTTGTTAAATAAGAGGAATTCCTGTTAGTGCTTTTTGTTAGTTTTAGCACCTCTTCTATATTCTAATATTTTTAGTCTTTGATTCTTTTATAGCTGTACTATGTCATGCCTGCTTGTGAGGCAATAATGCTACCGTTCTTGAAAAAAATGGCAGAACCACGGGTGGTTTTGCCTCTCTGTAAGTCTGGTGTTTCTCTCTGAAGAAAGCACCTGAAGAACTAATGAAAAAACACTTGTAGATGATCAATATTCATTACCTATGCAATGTCCTAGTCGCATACCTTTTGGTATAGATACTTTTTACTTTTGCATGTGAAAAAGGTGATGTTTCCCTTTGCCCTGGGCAGCACATGAACCAACAACTGGCCGAGTTACAGTTTTGAGGAGGTTTTTTTTTTCCGTTAATTTTCTTTGTGATAGTGGGGATTCTTTTTTGCTATTCAGCGCTGTTGCTGTGTTTCCAGATCGCTGACTTGAAGGCAGCTAGACAGCTTGCTTCCGAAATTACCTCCAAAGGAGCAAGCCTGTATGACTTACTTGGCAAAGAAGTTGAACTAAGGGTAAGTACACACTGGAGAGTGTATAAGAACTTGTGTTCGCTGGGTGCTACAAAGGAAAAAGGTGAAAAAAGTATCAGTAGTTCTTCTTAACGGCTGCATCTAAAATGAATGTTCTGTGAGTTTGAAGGAATGGGTCTGAAAGTTTGCATTTCCTCCCCGCTCGTATTCATACATGGATTGCAGTAAGCCTGAGAGAACGGTTCGGCGTTTTCTCTTTAGCAGGAAGCTGAAATGCTCTCTGTAGAACTGTTTGGAAATATTAACTTTCTATCTACGTTTTAGCGGTGGGGATAGATACATTCTGAAAGATAAATGATTAATGCCATCAGTTTTCCAAGTGCAAGGCTCATTATTTCTGTTGCAGTAATTGAAGGCCTCGCAAGCCTGCAGGGTACATATTCTTCAGCTTAGTTGTAAAATCACAAGCTGTTGCATGAAGTCACGGAAGTATCCTGAAACACTGCCAGTAAGTCTTTCAGTTATTTTCTTAAATGCATTTATCTGCAATGCTGGAGGTTATTCATTGTCTGAAAGCAGACATTTAAAGAAGGGAACCCCTGAATGTTCTAGTACTGTTTTTGGTAATCTCCAGATTTGCAATGTCTGGGCTGTAGGAAGTGCACCCTGTAAGAGCCGTAGACTCTGCGCCTTGACGATTAATGCTCCCAGATCCTTGTTTGATGGAGCACAAGTGTTTCAAAGGGTGGGTGATGGACAGGGAAGATTACCTGTGGAACACTGCCTTTTCTGCTAGATGCATAAGTCAGCATGGTATGCAGCGGTGTGAAAGGCATTAATGCTTCAGAAGGGAGAGAGAAGTGATAAGCCAGTTTAATTCAACATATGCGATTGTCTCAAAACCATTAATCAGTCACTTCTTGTCTTGCATTCTTTGCTTAATTTCATGACTTTGAAATAGTTTTCACATGAATGCTACCTAATGTGTTAATATTTGCTTCGGGGCATTAAATCCTTTTTTCTGTGTACAGCATCCCTAAGAACTCGGCTGAAAAGTCAAGTATAGGTCAGTATGAGGCAACATTTTTAAAAAGTACTCAAGCATGGGTTTGAAATTGGGCGCTGCTAATCACTTTAAATCAAGGCTTTTAGGAGTCCAACTGACTTTAGAACTGGGCCCTAGAAAAAAGGGACTTGCACAAGTGCAGTGTGCTGAAAGCATGAAATGAAAAATCAAGAGATGAGTAAGTGCTTCAGTGCAGCCACTTCTCGTTGGGTCCATTAGGAAATCTTCGACGGAAGACTATTTAAAGGTGCAATTTCTAAAAGGGCGGTATTTCTTATAGGCAGTAGCGAGCACGTGTTTCTCGTGGCGTAATGGCTGAGTGCACAAGATGGAGATAACCGATCCTATATCGGTATGCAGTTTATATTTCCCAAAAAGGTTTGACAGATTGAACTTGTAGTCTTTAAGAAATCCTGTCTTAGGGAAGATGACCTTTGCTTCTGTCTCATTAGCTGTGAGTTTCTATCGTAAAAGCACAAGGCGACACTGACAGCGCAGTGAGAACCTCCAGAGAGCAGCAGAAGAGACTCATGCTCTGTTCCTTATGATTTGTGACTGGTTCCAGCCGTCTTCAGTGATTTGTTAAACCTGAAGAACCCATTTTTGGCTGGTGTGTTAAATGCGAAGTTTGGTACGCAAGCGTGTGACAAGTTCGAGACTGGAGCCTGTAGCAAAGCAAATCGGTTTCAGGTTAAAAGCCATGAGGTTGCAGTAACCGGTTGTTCAGAGGAATTTGACAAGTTTTCCTTTTTTAACGATAAGCACCCAACTCTGCCTTTCACCTGAAATATGAAATTTGCTCATCAAATGAGAGGCTTAGAGCCAAATACTCCTGTTTTCTTCCAGCACTGTTAGGTCTGATAATGCCCGCCGAAGCCAGCGGAGCTGCCGTTCTTGCTAAGTAGCCAGTGTTGAGGGCAGTAAGGAATTGCCCTTCTTCCTTTCACGGATCTTCCCTGGATCCTTGGTGAGGAATTCAGAAGATCACAGGGATGGCATCCTCTGCCTGCCCTTCCCACCCGATTCCAGGTGGGCAGAAGTAAAAGTGCAGTTAATTCTGGCTTCCTGTGGGGAATGAGAGCTTTGTCTGTAGATATCAAATTAGTTGCCATTAATCTAAGGTTACCTTTTTTTAATGTGAAGATTATTGATTTCCCTTGCTTATTTTCTTTTGACGTTGCACGGCTAAGTAACGCACACAATAAATTGCACTGGCAGAGGGACTGCACTATTAAAGGGCGGTAGAAGAGCAGCATGGTTTATTTTTTCATTACATTTTATGTCCTGAAACCTGTTGCATATACTCAAATGCATCAACAGCTGTGAAATGGTTTTAATGAGTTTGAAAACATGGTAGTTTTATGTTCCCTGAACCTCTTTTTTTTTCCCTTCTCTTTCCAATCCATCCATTTCCAAATATTTAAGTGAAGGATCTTCCTACCTAGGCTTAGACAGACTGATGATATATCTTGTTTCTATCCTGAGTGAAGACTGCTTCATTTTCCAGTAACTGTGAAAGAAATGCCAGCATTTGGCACTAATGGGTTGACTAGGTCTGTTCTCATAGCCTGAGCAGCTTTTGGGGAAAGATCATTGGGAAAAAGTGAAGTAAACCTCATTATTTCCTTTAGAAATGTTGACTCTAATTTGTGTCACAACCTTTACTTTCTTTATTGGGCTTTTTTTTCCATATAATTTGTATAGAAACTGTGTAGAAAAGCCTTATATGTTAGATAAGTTTTATTGCTCCAAGTCATGGAATGCTTTTTTAAATAAATTACTTTCTGAATGAAAACAAATTTCAGCTAGAGAAGAGTTTATTAAGGGAATGGTTCTGTTAGATATATTGTAGATACACAGTGATGTGAATGTGTGTGCGTATTTATTGGGAAGGGTTTAAGTCTGTATTTGTTTTCTTGGAAATGTGGTACTGCGCCTTTCTGATGCCTTTGCATATACGTTATTTCTGACTGAATATATAGTTCTTATGTATATGTGAACTGCTTTCGAAGTTAATCTAGAATGTAAAAAAAACTTTAAGAACAGAGGGAGAAATGAAACCTACAGGTATTCCTTTGCTGAATTCACACTATGATGCTGTTAGTTAAGATTTAAAAAAAAAAAATACCGAAGGCTATACTTTTCTCATCAGATGAAAATCACAAATGTCATTTTTGGCTTAAAAAGGAAATCAGGCTTTATATTTGAAAAAGAAGAGGAAGGCATTTCCTGATTAGCAATCCTACAGCAGCAGAAAGCTTAAATGTGAAGAGGCGCCGTTGGGTTCCAGCCCTGCCGAGAGGCGAAGAGATTTCCTTTCCCGCTGTCAGCGCATCCCAACTTGCGCAGCGGGTTGTGGCGCACCAGGTGTGGAGGGGGAGAGGTACAGGCGACGCACGTGCGTTGCTACGGCCGTGTCACCTGCACTGTCGGGTAACTGTTAAACGGGAGCTTGGTCCCGTTACCTCTCGGAGCAATTCAGCACTAAGGGGGAAAGGGATGAAAAGCCTTACTTGATCAGAGGATCTTTGGAGTTAAATGTTGAATTCCATCGGAGCTGCGTTGTTTCTAGCCCAGCTGTGGATGAGCACAGTCTAGGTTATTGGTGACCTGTGGCAGTGCAGTGGTGGGGAGACAGAATTTTTATTTTAAAACACATTTAAGCCTGACATTTGCAAGGTAGTTTGCCGTTTCCAGTCTTACTGGTCCAAGTTAGAGCACAGAAATTGCAAAGTTGGAATTCGTTGAGCGTAGTGGAGACGGTGAATGAATTTTGGTACAACACAGTGAGATCTCTAGATGACAAGCAAATTCTATGCACGGAGACGTATGTCTTCACCTTCATTGTTTCCTTTCCTGCCAGGGGGACTTTCCCTGCATTGCATTACTATGTAGCCTTAATTTTCAGAATATTTACAACTAGCTTTGGAAGCATAACTAGACACTTTGAGTTCTGGTTTTCTTTAATCTGTTTTCTAGCTGGTTGTTTGGTTTTTTTTTGGATGGGGAAGGTGGAGGTTGATTTGGATTTGAGGTGGGGATGAGAGAATTGGTTTGGATTCCTTTCTCTCTCTGCATACACTATACTAAATGCTTAGGACGATTAAAAGAAGTAGAAGTTGAAAATACCAGTGCTGTGATTAAGCCTATCAAGCTCAAAATCAAGAAAAGCAGCAATAGCATTAATGTCAGGACTCGGGCGAAACGCGGCACCGCTTCGCTGTGCGTTCAGTTTGGGTTTCACGTGTGGTGGCTGCCTCTGGACCTACACAGCTAACTGCTGCTGTCTTGTAAGTGGCCAGAAGTTGGAAAAGTCGGTGGTCCTCTATACTAAGAGCCGGTGATCAGTCGTTCATGGAGAAGAAAGCAAGATGAATCTTTGAGGGGAGGGAGGGGTGGTGAGGTGATCCAAATAATTCTTTAGCACAAAACAAAGCAGCAATGACTTTCAAGGTCCGTTGTGATCAGTTGAGGAAGGACGCTCCTGAGTTATCATACACTGAACATCCGAAATCCCAAAGGAAAAATGCACGGCTATTTGTAACACCTCAGCAAAGCTGACTGCCTCTGAGTGCCTGCCACTTTGCAGCTGCCAGAGGTCCTGCGGCCACATTAGCAGCAGCCTGTCAAGAAGCTGCCTTGCTTAGACTTGCTGAATTATTAGATGCGGTAAGATAACGAAGCAAAAAAAATTGTAGAATAAAACTGCCTCTCTGCTGGTGGCAGGCATAAAGATTTCTGACCTTCTGAAGGTTGTTTTCATTTTATTTACCTCTTAATTAGCTCTAAGCCGTGTAACACTGAAGAAGGATGAAAATAATCTTTTTTTTTTTTAATGTACTTAGTCTGTGCTGAAGACGGGCAGCGCAGTGGGTCTGTTTTCTAATGCTCCTCTTGGCACTTACTCCGCCTGTGACCTTGAACAAACTGTTTATTCCCTGTGTATCCTCTTGTGAAAATAAAGTAATTTCTGTAA